CTGCCGCAAAAGTGCCAGAATCTGATTATTCTTATATCCAAAATTAGTAATTATAAAACTGATCCCCAAATATTAGTTACGAAAGTAATCAAAGAGTTGGCCAAGTGGAACAATGCCTCAACCAATACGTGACTAGTTACTTCATCGGCGATGGATATTGTTCCATCGGCACACTAAGCGGTTTGATAGAAATGCGAACAGCGAAGGGATGGTGTGAGAAACTCAGAAGGCCTCGGGTGTAATTCATTTATTAGGATTTGTCGAAATGTTCCTAGAAGGATGATTGGCCACAGAGGAATCGAATTATTGCTAGATAGTTGAGTTGGGGATTCCGAGCGAATTAACATAATAATAAGGATTAATAAAAACAGGTTTAAATTGCAAAGTGCAGCATTTCACCAGGCTGGCTGGGCCTCCCTCTGGCTGCCGTGGTGTTCGCCCTGCAGGTGTACACGGCGCTACTGCTGGGACGGTGTTGGGTGCTGGCCGAGGACATCGACCCCACCATCGTCGACAAGAGCAGGTTTGTCCCGCACATGTCACGTGACGCCACCTCTGCCCTTCGCCTCCTCACCTGCTCTGCTTCCGCCAGGTATCCGTACGCTGCACTGGCGCACATGACCATGGGACCCACCATGAGCAAGGTGGTGACGGTTCTCCTGGACGTGACGGTGTTTGGTGCGGGCGTACCAAACCTCCTCGTCGGTAAGGTGCGCTGCTTTCTTAGATTCCGCAACGGCCTGCGTATCTCCGTCTCAAACTTTCGCCCTTGTGTGTGAATGCAGCCTCACAAAATATCCAGCTATTCGGCCTCAAGATGACCGACCAGCGCGTTGACCTTTCGTTCTGCTACTGGCTTATCGTCCTGGGCATACTCCTGTGCCCCATCATGTGGCTCGGCAGTCCGAAAGATATGAAGTGAGTAGATTATGACCCGAATAGATTGGCCCGTCATCAAATTGCCTTTGCCCTACCGGGTTGTTGCCCCGGGGAGGTGAGGCGAGCGCTGACGCCGGAGAGGCAGGCCACCCAACTAACACCGCAGTCCCATTGGCTGAACGGTCTCGCGGCCACGTGGTTAATATGAACCTCAAGTTTTTCTTATGTTGCCCAAGCCATGGCATGACATCGTGCATCGCACCATATGATAGGAACTCACCTGCCTCAGGTGGCTGGCGGTGACATCGGTGTGCACCGTCCTGTCGGTGGCCGTGCTGACATGGACGGCCATGGTGCAGGACGACTCGCTGCCCGCCGGCTACAATCCCATGTGGACCAAGCCATCGTGGGAGGCGCTGGCAATCGCCTACGGTATCATAGCCTTCCAGGTACAATCTGCAAAATACGAAAAAGTGTTCGTGGCGTCATCACACGATCTTAATACACCATTCAACGCAATGATTTCAGTTTGACGTGCACCCCATGATCCTGACGGTGCAGGTCGACATGCAGCACAAAAACAAGCTAGGAAAAGCAATCCTGGGCAGTTTTGTTGGTACGTAACCTATCCTCAGGTCCCACTCGATGTAAGCCTTGCTTTTTCCTAGGAAGGGAAGGCAAACCGCGCGAAAACAAAATAAAGATTCGAGGTCAGGGTCAGAGCGAATACGTTCACGGAAAAAAATTCACTGGTATGCGCACAGCGAACATTTTAGCAAAGGCAGTGATACGCGTTCGTCGCGAGAGCCGAAAGCACATTAGTTGGGACAACTAACAGATCATAGTTGAAACAACCAACACATTAGTTAAGACTACTAATGTGGCACCAGTGAATATTTTTTTTAAATACGTATTTTCATATAGGCCTTGGTCGTCATTTTAGCGAATATAAAGACATTCAAATGTAAAACCATAGTCATAATATCAAATATGATGCAAAATGCATGTGTTAATATGTTAACATGTTAGAATGTTAAGATCCTTAAGCTGATAAAGCCTTAAAAGTACATATTTTAATGGCAGTTGCCAACTTGTTCACGATTTTTGTCGGCCATCTGCGATTATTTCTGGAATCGCTTTGATATCTTTGCTGCAACTCAAGCGGGAGTCGAACCTCCGTTCGTCCGGCTGCCAGGCTAACTCGGAGGCACTGGGCCACTCGTGCGCGATGACGTATGAAAGGAGTGCACATCCAGCTAATCACATTCGCTGGGATATGCAGTAATCTCAAGCTGCCATAGGCGAACACGCATAAATTGTAACAATTACTCTGAATTAGACAGAGTCGACGATCGTGAAGCTGAAACTAACAATATCAGATTCGTTTTGATATGCAGTTGGTGACAACAGCTACTGAAATGTTCGCTGCCTCGACGAAGTAGTTGGCTGAGTTAGCGAAGAATGTTTGCTATGCCACACTAGAGAACATATTAGCTCTAACAGCTTACGGTAGGTTGCGACAGCCAATGCTTTTTTCCGTGTTGACTAATTATATACGGGTTCGAAAATACGGGTTGGCTGTGGGAACTATCTCTTGTCTATGGCTCGAACTGATTCTTAGGTGCCACGACGAATACCTTAACATCCCAAAATTAGCCAATGAATTCGCTCTGACAACCATCTTTTTCAGTGTGGCCCCGTAAGCCTAGGAGGTGAAACCAATCATGCCCAATATGCTATACTGCCCATGGTCTAAAGTACAACTTCAACCAACAAGGGCCATTTGCAGGGTTGGATAACTCAAATTTCCCACTCCTGCCAACCTCAAAAAACGCACGGCCGCACTGTCCATAACCACACTGAGAAAAATATTTTGCTGCCGGCACTAGACGCCTGTCTAATGCTCCCTACTTTTCCCCATTGCAAAACGTTTAGTTCTGGCAAATAAAAGTTATGATGTGTAGCAATAAAGGGGTTTAGCGCCAGGCGCCAAACACGTCTTGTGCTATAGGCTAAGGTGCACTTTGTTTGAGGCACGAAGTATGCATGATTGAGTAGTTCGGATGTAGCCGCTAGATGGCACCACTATCGAAAGCCTTCCTTGCATCTCGCTGGGAGCCCCGGGTGCACCCAACATTAGGTTCTGGGGCAGTTTCCCTCTCGTCAGTGACGCACGTATTGATAATGTGTCGGCGCATCGGCTCAGATTTTTGAAAGGAAGCTTCTCGTACGAAAGGTGCAAGAAGACATTCTACCAGCGATCAACAACTCTTCTGTTTCACCTGCCTCTCCATAGTTTTGGCAAAATTCAATGACGTCGGAGCAAACAATATTGTCCTTGTCATCGTGTCCAGTTTTCGTTCCGGAAAAAGATTTGTTTAATGCCTGAGCATGCATATCCTTTAGTGCCAATGCCTGTTCTACTTAGCGCCTGGCTCTAAAGCCGGCTCACTAGACGCCTTTTTCCCCAGGAGCTAAACACTATAGTGCGACGAAAAAGTTTCGGCCTGGGCACTAAACGTTTAGTGCCCAGCGCCAAAAAAATTTCTCAGTGCAGGTAAACATGTCTATGCCAAGTCAAAATCCACAGATGCGATGTCATGCCCATTAGATTGAGCTAAGAAGCTCCCTTGACAGAGAGTGAGAGACAGGTAAGGAGGGGGAGGGGAGAAGGGTGAAAGAGAGTATCGGTAAAATAGTTGCGCGCGGACTCCCCCCGCCGAGAACAAAAGAATTGAGCAGATCGGTCCAAAGTAATGCTCTGTCTGACCTCCTCGCGTCGACCCTCCTTCTCCTGCTCCACGAAGGGCGCCAGGAATGCCGAGCCGGCAGAGAGGCGGTGGCGTCGAAGCAGCAGCGCGACGGTGGGCGCTGCGAGATCGCCTGACGGAGCGAAGCTAGAGCGATTGGCTGGCCCCCTCAACGACAGACGGACTCGTCTCACCAGCTCCGCACGGCCAAAACATCCGTAACCAAGAAGAGGAAATGTCCAGGAGGGATGTAGCGAGTGTTTATTTATCTAAGTGTAGCGGCTTAGGCTACTCGTTCAGGCCGGAGACAGTGGGTATGCAAACCCGCAACACTCCGGCGAGCGGAATGAACCAACCGTAACCAAGATTGTCAGTTCTTTTACTCATCTGTCTTCGGTGGTTGTACAACAACTGTTGTAGGTTTGTCCGTTGACATGTAAATATAAGCACATATTGCCGACTTGTACGCGGATCAAAAGCGTCACATTCTCCTGAAAGGAACACGGACCCACACCACACCAGGGCTTAGTAATGAGGTGAATCAGGTTAACCGTGAACCGATTTTTCTTATTCTAATGGAGATCATACAAATCAACGTTATTTCGCTTTTGAGGAGTATGGCAGCAATTAACTTATTTTGTAGACTATGCCTTTAGAGCTAAGCACACATGGTTCCCTCAAAACTCTTTTTTTTTCCATTCAAAAGATTCCACCATGGTCAAAACTCTCGCACGCACGCACCGTCATCTAGACCATCAAAGCGGCGCCGCCGAAATTTTCTCCAGGTGGCCCGAGGCGGCCGAGGCATCCGATCGCGAGGCGGCAGATTGACTCCTTCTGGTCGCGCGATCCGCCCGCTGAGATAAGGGCCGATGTTTAACGGTACGCGGGCCCGCGCGTCGCAGCGTTCCGGGCAAGAGGGACGCAACTGGGCGCGAGTTGCGTGGCTCCGGCAGCCGCCTCCGGCTCACGAGGCACACGAGCCCACCTCAGACGCGACGCCCAGCGCCACGCCGCATCACTGACGATGATGGTCTTGTGTTCGCGCGGCTGTAAACTGACTAACTACCTCGTGTGCATGGCGAATAGAAGGGTACGTCAATAGGAAAGTGGGAGAACCGGCGCCAGGAGATACCAGCGGGGTATACCAGCAGAATAAAGCGGTGGGGTACGGCGGCCGAAACGCTCTTCACGGACACTAGGCTTAAAAATGACGACACGCAACCACAAAAGCACATGACTGACGACAGATATCTCATTCTTAGTGACCGGGCTGCTGTTCATGGTGACGACGGGCATCGCCACCTGGAAGTACGGCGCCGCACTGCGCTACAACCTGCTGCAAGGGCTGCCCGCCGGCACGTTGCTGTACGTCAACGTGCTGCTCGTCACCCTGCAGATCTGCCTGTCCATGGTGGTCGGTGGTTCCGCCCTGTTCCAGGATATTGAAGACAAACTCAACATACCCCGAGGTGAGACAGGGGATTGGACATTGGAAACACACATGTGTGTCTGTCACGCACTTGTAGGTGCGTGTATGCCCATTTGTACACATGAGGCTGTAAAGAGAGGGTTTTACTTTGAAATTCACACACGTGTGTCTCCATTTGTGCGAGTCGCGTTCCCACACCTACAGGTGTGCGACATTTGTGTTTTTAGTGTAGTCATAGTCGTATGAGCTCTTATACACGATTCTTTCTCTACAGAGTTCAGTTGGCGGCGGTGCGTGCTGCGCTCCTCGCTGGTGGCCGTCATGGTGTTGCTGGGCGAGGCCGTGCCGCGCTTCGACCTGGTCATGGGGCTCATCGGCGGCTCGCTCACCGGCCCGCTCATGTTCGTGATGCCACCGCTCTTCTACGCGCGCCTTAGGCGCATGTCCTGGCGGGCGCGCCTGCTCCGGCCGCCACCGTGGCAGCCCTACAACAAGGTGCGAGGGCAAGTCACACTTCACTTTGGGGAGTTTTTGTTGTCTATATCTCGTAAACCGGAAGTGTCAATTTAGGATAACTTTTAATTTAAAATTGATTCCTATTACTTTTTAGCGCAAGCCGTTTACGAGATATGGACAACAACAATTTCGAAAAAGTTTTAGTTTGGGAGCTCTGCTGAGCTTCTTGGCAGACAAGAATGCCGAAATCTGATTGCTTTTCTTGTCATATGGTGCAACCGGAGGGGAGGGCTCAAAATCAGCCCTGCCTAAACCGACCTCAATGTTGGAGGACAGATACTTTTGCCCTCCTCATACTGAATATGAAGACGATAGGTGCGGAAACCGGCTGGGCAGGGAATCCGTGCTTCAGCTGCTGGCTGAGCCCGCTCGGCCAAACCCAACAGGCGGAGCGGGGCAGTCAAACTGGGACATGCCAGTCCAGGGGTGGGGCAGGGCAGGGTGGGGCGTGGTGGGGCGGGCCTCTGTCAAGCAGCCGGCTGCGTGCGCATCCATTTGCATACAGCTTCAAGAAATTTAGATAAAAGCATGTGTGGTTTTAAAGAATGTGAGGCGCGCTCAAGATCAATGCATCAACCCTGTACTTTTCTCTGGATTGAACCTCTCGTGACGCGCAGCCGCTGTTGGAGGCCGACGAGACGAGCCTGGACAAGGAGAAGGAGGCTGTCCGGCTGATGCTCGCCACGGACCGCTACCCTGTCGGCCAGCAGCACCCCGACGGCTACCAGCCGTACCACGATCAGACATTGCAGTCCTCGCGTCGGCACCGGTTAGTTACATAACGTAAACACATCTGTAGCATTCATACAGTTTCTCTTTTCTTATGAACAATAATTATTAGAACTCGCCGAACGATAGAGCATCTAAATTTTGACCATCGACGACCCTGCTGACCCGTTCCGTTCTCCAGGTCCACGTCGCCGTGGTACCGGCGCCTGCTCGACCCAGACTGCCTCTCGCTCGAGACGTGCCTGGGTGCGGGCCCACTGTCTGGCTGGGAGATGGTGCTCACCTCTTTGACGGTGTTCGCCGGCGCCACCGCCACCGTGGCTGCAACCTTCTTCAGTATCCGAGACACGCTACGCTACGCCACCTTTACGCCGCCCTGCCTCACAAACGTGACGCAGGCCTCCAAGATACTGTCCATTATAACAGACGGCATGATCGCCATCTAACTCCTCATAAGCCATTCCCCTTCAACACGGTGTTCAATACGATATTTCTCAAGTCAACCACGACCAGCCCGCAGCGCTGCCTGTGAACTTTCTTCCAATTTTAAAACAATTGTTTTCCTGCAGTTATATACTCATATGAATTGGCAAAACGGCGGTACAGGTCCGAGCCCCCGTCCCCTCTCCTCTCTCTCTCTCTCCTCTGTCCTTCCCTCAAGTGTTTCTCTCAACCACAGGCTATGTGGATTGTATTGTGATCTCTAGATTTTTTTAAAGGATGAATAAAAAAACACTAGTCTTATTTGGAGCCTATGACGGAGGTTACTTATATTTTAGTTTATTAAATGTCAAAAATTGTTGTTTAGGTGCGACTGAGAAAACACAGAGATTGTCCAGGTCGCGCAGTTAAATTGAGCAAAAGTTCTATTCATTTTTCATCTCAGAAAGATATCGTTTTAAAATAATTGTAACATCATACATTCTCACTTGCCTGTGCGTTATCGATAGCAGAGATTGTTATTTATGCTGCCTCATTCGTGTCTTGTGGTCAGTGCTTTTCTTACTTCCGTATCGGATCGGAGTGGAGTGCCGTCGCGGCAAAGGCAGGCGGGAGAAAATAGGCGCCGTGGCCTTTTTTTTTTTTTTTTGCACAGGTCGCCGGGGCGCTGCTCGATATCCACGGCCACCACGGCGCGGTGCGCGGCTGCACCAACGGCGCGCCGGGGGATGTGGCGGGGCGTAGCGACAGCACTATCCCTTTCTGCGCCCACAGCAGCAGCGGCGGCACAATGGGATTTGGTAGAAAAGAGGAAACCGCGGGCCGGGCCGGGCTGACCTAGGCGCCTCCGCAACCCTTTCACACTGCATTACTGCCCAGTAGCAGCAGCAGCAGCTGCTGCAGCAACACCTTCTCCGACATCATAACCCACCCACTCCTTGGTAGTTCTGTTGAAAGGAATAAACAAGGCGGACGCTCGCTCGAGCGCGCGGGCGCCACGCGGCCGCTCATGCTCGTGAGAATCGAATTACAAGGTGATGCTGCCGCAGCAGCTGCGCAGAGCCGCGCGGGACCACAAAGCGAAGCTAAGCGGCACAGGGCGTGCTGGGCTCGGCTCGCCTGGCTGGGACCTTCAAATAATCTCCTTCCGCTTAATTACAGCTTTCACTCGGCCGGGCTTTATCATCTGTATTAACACGGCAAGAGGTGCCAAACGGCTCCGGGCTCCGGGGACAATTATTCTCAGTCGGGGCCCCCGCGCCCCGGGCGAGGCCGCGGGCGAGACAGGCTCTCACATCGGTGCCGCGGCGGCCGCGGCTGCCTTTCAAAATATCCCTAGAGGTTTTCCCCTCTCCCCAAAAATTGCCATCAAATTAGGCGGTATCGGATGGGATTCCTCGTTTGCAGCGCATCACGCGCGGTAGGCAAGGCCCCACACCTGCCCGCTCTCCCACGGGCCTCATCACCGCCAGATAGATATGTATGGGAGAGAGATGCAAAATTGGAATCATTTTCACTTTCATTCTGATATATCTCTCTGCTCTGCCCTGAGGGGGATATACCCCCCTCCACTGCCTGGGCGCTCCTCTCTCGCGTGGCTGCCCAAACTATGTGAGTGCGTACGCCAGTCTGCGCCCCTGTGTACGTGATTGTGTGTGTATGTGTGTGCGTGTGTAGCTGCCGATTGAATTGGCACCACAACAAGGGCCACCGCCGCTGTGGGGTGAGCTAAAATGCGGAAGAGGGGGAAGGAGCGGGGTGGTCCAAAGCCACGACAGGATTCCCTTTCACCTTTGGGGCAGAACGCCCGCGTGCCATCGAACGTCGTGGGCATTATAGTAGTAATTTGCGTGTGTTTGTTGCACCGCATATATAATGGTCGGCTGGGCGCGACTCTTCCCCTCGGCAGGGCGGGCGGGGCTATAAGGCTGCCCACTAAAAACAGGATCCCCCCATAGCAAACTGCACGCACATGGCAGAGAGAAAATCCAGCAAAGTGTCAGAGTAGGCAGTCATTGGAAAGAGGCACGGCCAGACTAGTATAATAACGGCCTCTTGGGCCCGAGGGGGAGAAACAAGAGGGAGGGACTCGCGCAGAGGGACCCGCCAGGACAGGCAAGCGAAACGCCCACCCTAGCGAGCTAGGGAAACAAAGGTGTCGGTGTTTTAGCTGTAAAACAAAATGCACAATTATTATGCCTTTCTTCTAAGCAGACGCGGTCGCCTCGAAACGTATTTCTCCTCATTTTTTTCGCGACACGGGTACTTCTCAAAGCAAAAGGAGCGCTGGTAGATAAAACATCCGTTTCAACGAGTAAGGTGCACAAAACTGTAATCCCGACAATGAGAGGAACCGACAAACCTCATTAACTCCATTTACAACTTTCGTTTAAGCCCGTCTGTCGCGCGGCCGCGGCTCGGTTCGCCCCGCCCGGTGCGGTCTTCATCTCATCCGCAGCGCGGAGGAGGCAGCGCCACCAAAACCAGAAAATAACAAGGAGAAAGCATTCTCGCCGATAAATTGGGGCCGAACGTATGGAGAAGACTGCCGGGCAGGGGGCCGAACAACGGCGCCCCCGACCAATACCTAGAAGCCATTAAAATTACGCGCACTATATTGCGCGTCAATAATACGTGTGGCTCGCTACCCCGTTGCAACGGGGGAGGTACGTACGCAGTGACGCCGCATTCACCTGTTAAAAGTTTACGAAGCATTATATCGTGAACTACAAAGAAAGCGATATAGAATAGAAGTGTAGCCTGCGAAGAAATTCTTTGCATAGTTCTAGAGATAAGCGGTGCTTTGTATTACAATATGCTACCATTAGAAGATACACCCAGTACGAGTCGAGGTACGAGTGGTACGGCAGTGAAGTATTGTTAACGAGTACACAACACAAGTGTGCACAAGTGTACTACCCAGCGTGCCCACACACGCACACGTGGCGTCATCCATCCCCACTTCCGCGCGGCGCCTCGTTGTAATTAGAGCCGCCCGATGATGAGTCGTCATCGTTACGACTCGCGGCTGACTCGTTCCGGCCGCTGCCGCTCTCTGCCGCACCGCGCCCCGCGGGTCAGGGACCGTCAGGGACCCAGGCGCGACTACTCTCTTTCACTCGTACAGCGCGACAGTTTCTTACCCCGCCCCTCCCCTCTCCCCTCCCCCTCGGCGGCCCGCCGCAGCACCATCAGCGCAGAGAGCTGCAGAGCTGTCCCCGCGCTATTTCAAAAATGTTGTGGCTCGAGTCCTGCTGGAGCTGGTCCGGCCGCTCCCACAGTGCGAGGAGAGGCGGGCCTGCGTCCTGCGTCCGCGCGAGAGACTATCAACGTGGCCATACGTCATCCCCGCGTCCGCTGACCACGCGCCGATGCAACCCAGAAAAGAATAAAAAGATTAAATCATGGTGTAACCACGGTTTTCTGGCCAAACACTTTTATGGAGATAGCGGCATCGGCCGCAGTATACAACAACAGCTCTCCACATGCACGCCGTAGACAAGTCACTCACAGTCGCCCAGACCGGCCCAGGCCCAGCGAGCGGTCTGCCCTCTGAAGCCAAGCCTAAAGGTCATGCAACATTTTCGCTTTACTTCCCTGTGAACGGCGAAAATTGAGAACAACGGCGTGTCCAGCGAGACCGCATATAGCGTTTATAAAAGCACCCGACACCACCGCGGCACGAAATGTCTACGCGGCTGCAGAGCCTGCAGAGCGGCTCAGAGCGGCACTCGGCTGTCGCACAGCAGAACACACTTTCACTGCTGAGGGCCGCGCAAATAAACATGGCAGCGACACCCGCAGAGCGGATGCACGGTGGGAGTGGCAGGCATCAAGGGGTTATCGTCACGATATATAAATAACTAGTAAGTCATAAATTTTCAATAACAAAAATCAGCGACTGTACACACGAACTCTTTATTTCTCCATAGCCGAACTGACATCTGTAAACATCCTCAGCTTACGAATGTAATCATACGCCAGTGTGAAGAAATTTGTTCACAACGAGGTGGATGCAATATGAATGATTGCATTCTGATCGTACTGCCAGGGACACCTGCAGAGAGAGAGAGAGAGAGAGAGAGAGAGAGAGTGTGTGTAAACATGACCACAGTATTGAGTCGTCTCTGCTGCGCGGCTGGAAGCAGGCGGTGCGCCAGCCTGTCCAAAAGCCCATGAAGAGGGCTATTTATTCAGTACGAAGCGCCGCGCCCGGCTAGATAACATCGCGGCAAGTACACCGCGAACCAGGCGGAGGTGTAGCACTGTGGCCATCGCGCGCGCCGGCCAGGGGAGCGGGGAGGCGCCAAAAGTTCGCCCACCGTGAAATTGGCTATTGTTTGTGCCGCTGCTGCTGCCGCCGGCGCCGCAGCAGCGGCCCGACCGTCCCAGGGGGACCCCCACGACACTTGCCGACGAAGGGGTTTCGTCTCACACCGAAACTTGGGAAAGGTGCAAGCATCCGAACGCGCCCATGCAACCAGAGGGCGTTTAGAGTACCAATCGATCGGCTGCGAGCTGCGAGTAGGTTATTCCACTCTACTATAGGTATTCCTACGGTATTACTAAGTCTGAACACGTTCTTCCCCTAGGGGTTTCCACGGATGCGCGGGGACGCGTCTCCGATCCCAATTGGTGAGGGGAAAGGACCTTCACCGACCTTTGCTGCTTTCAGTCCGCCCGCTATTAACAAGTGGGCATTGGGCGTTCCCCAATGCACTCAGAAAAGGTCACTGAGAAAAACCAGAGCGGCTTCCCGCAAGCCCTGCGATATATGAACAAATGCGGCATTCGCACAAATCCAGAACAACATTGTAAAAACTGTTATTGTTCGCTGGTTTAAAGAACTGTGTGCGGGTTTGAGTGTGAGTGCGAGAATGATGCACGAACTTGACCCCTGCTGTGCGTAGCGCAGCGGGCGCAACCAATCCCCATTACCATGAAAAGGAATGCAGCAGGCACTCTCTCGCCCAGAGTATCGCCAGTCCCATCTCCATCTCTCTTGCAGCCCCCCTGACTTACGAGGGTCCTGTCGCTGTAGCATTTATTGTGGGAGGGGGGGCTTTCACCCACACATGGTCTGTTGGCTTATTCGCTTAACCCCCGCCTCCCCTCCCCCTTACCCGCTCTCCAGCTCGAGACCGCCCCTGTCGCAGGGTTTCAGAGTCAATCTCCCAAACATGCAAGGAAGGGGAGCACAGGCGACATGACAACGAATCCTGACAGGGGGGGGTGGGGGTCCGATACGTCGGCCACTGTATCCAGTGTATCGCCCGGCCGCGCTCAGGCTCAGCCCGGCACCCCCACAGGGGAGGCGTACCAGCGGCGGGGGGTCACGAGCGAGCCGTCATCCAAATTAGGAGAGACGAGAGTCTGCAGAGAGAGAAAGGATTTAGACGAGAAATGTTGTTGTGTATGGGAGGG